ATTTTCAACAGGAGGCTGAGAGATACATTATACTGAAATGGGTTTTAAATATACTTTGTACTTAGGTTTAAAGAACAACTGAGGGTAGGGTAAAGTCATGACAGACTATACTGAGAACTTCAAATCTGATGCTAAGAAATAGGATGCAGTCAGTAATAATGACTGACTTTAACTCATTTAATAACCTGATGCTATTTAATACACTCAGCAGAACTTGTAGGCCTCATTAAACTTACATACACGTACATCAAGACCTAGAATCTTGATATCTAGGTATATATCAAGCATGTTTACAATTTTTTTCCAGAGATAGATTAACATTCTTTGATATCTGCTTGGAATCATGAACTTGGAACACTGAGAAAAAGTACTAGTAATTTTAGAAAAACTACTTTAAATATAACTGCTAAAGTAGGGCATTTGAAGATAAATCATAAATTACATCTCCTTCAGGCTACACTGGTGTAAACTATGGACTCGCCCAGAATCTCTACCAAGGAACCCCACAGAGCTGTGTCCGTGTTCGCCCTTTCCAGTATACCTTCCTGCTAAGCAGTGTTTCTACAAGTACTGCTCAAAACATTTTTTTTTAAGTCTAAGAATAATCTAAGTGTAAACAAAGTCTTAGACACATTAGGCACAGTAGTGGAGTGTGTGCTCGGGAGGCTGAGGGCCTGGGCTGGAACCCTGATGACATCACTTCCCACCTGTGTGAACCTGGGCAGTTGTTTATAACCTCCTTGGGCTTTAGTTTCTCCCAGATAAAACAGAGATTATACGTCCCACAGAGGGGCATGAGGGTCACACGGGAGTGCACACAAACCTCTCTGCACAAAGCCTGGCACGTGGTAAAAGATTAATAAATAGTAAAACATTTACAAGAAAGTTATTAATATTATTTTTTGCTTCCCTGTGACATCAGCAAAGAAACCTTAATATGTCAGGAGTTGATAAAGGTAGAAACAGTATTTGGCAGATGATTAAATGGAACAAATATTTCACTTTGAAATGAAAAAAAAATTTTTTAAATAAGCTTCCAAGCTAAAAGTCAAATAAATATGATCAAATCACTCCCCAAACTCTGCAGTCACTCAAAAGAGAAAAAGCCTTTTTGATCTTCTGTTTCTACAGAGTCAAGCTCCCCAAGTTCCTGAAGCCTACTTGTTAAGTGGCAGCTTCATGGAAGAGGAGGCTGCACGGCTGTTTCCTCGCTGAGCGCCCCCCGCTTCGGCCGACTCTGGGTCCTTGAAGTAGGCGGCAGACGATTTGGGCTCATCCCAGTCCTCATCCCAGTCGTCG